TTTTGCATTTCAAAATACTCTAGCCTTCATACATGGCTCTGAAATAAGATAATGAAACTGGTCGAATAACTTCTTTAGTAGCGTTACAGATGGATCGTGACCGGTCAGTCTGCCTAAAGACATTTATTTAGCCTAACGACCGTTTACCTAAAGACACATTGCCTAACAGACAGTTTGCCGAACGGACAGTTTGCCTAAGTTACGGTTTTTTAATGGATATTTTGCCTAATAGGCAAACTGTTCCGTAGGCAAACTGTCCGTTAGGCGACGTATCTTTAGGCAAACTGTCGTTAGGTTAATTGTCTTTAGGAAGATTGACCGGGTACTCCGATGGATAAAATGCGGTTACTGATGTTTTTTGAACAACTGGTAATGTGAAGAATATACCATGGAAATATTCAAAATATTGAGATATTTTTTGATGAGCCCAACCGATTGCACGCTTCTACTCCAATTTTTGCCTCATGTCGCGATGTTAGCTTGCGAACGTTTTGATAAGAAACTGCATTTGATTCACATTACCAAACACTATCTCAACCGTGAATAGTGTTTGCGCGGAATTCAAAAGACTATGAATGCCATTAATGATCAATGCCGACTTCTTAGTTCACCCTCAACTCACCAAAAACTTTATGTTCAACTGATGTGCTTAATGTGTTCTTGTGGAACATATTGTCGTTGATTACAATTTAGTTTAACTTCATCTTCACGTAACATCATTTTACCGTGTTACTGCGCAAAGCTTGGATTTATTCACTTTTTTCTCTCAATCATGCCCATAATTATTTGGGCATGACTGAGAGAAAAAAGTGAAGAAAGCTGCCTAAACGTAACAATTTTTTCGAAACAAGCAAAAATTCCATCAAATCATGTATCGCACCATTAATGCAGACTGATTGCTTCTTACACCGACTAACTTCGCATCTAATGTCCCATAAATAATTTATAAGTTCTTCCGAGTTGATTTTTTTTTTCTTTTTAGTGGTCATCAGCCACGCCTTATTGTTCGAGTGAAAGCGAGATTTGCGGTGCCTTTTTAGACATCTGCCGAACAAATTTTCGCGTTCGCTTAGGATCAGTTTTTGCACTCATACTTACGTCGATGTAGAGCCCATAAATAAAGATAACAAACCAACAAGAAAATCATCTTGTACTTCGTTTCACTTGGCTATCCGCACATTCATCCGTCCACCTCTGTCTTGAGAAGTAAACTTTCTGAGCTTATATTAGTTTATTTAGCACCACCCATTCATGCATTCCCATGACATCTTCACTCCTTTATAAGCACTCTTGAATGCAACTCACCACAGCAATAAATCAAACACTTCTTCATCATTCCTTGACTCGCACCGATTTCTCCTTTCCACGACCTCTGAAACATCTCCCAAAAGATGTATAGTTCAAATTCGGCTGATCCATAGAATCAATTTTGCCATTCGAGAGATTCTCATCGGCCACATTATCACGCCACAATTCGTGCGTAATTCCACTCATCAAAGGCCTCTGAGCGATCGGTTTAAGACTGCATATCATGTCACCAAAACGTCTCACTGTTATCTGTAACTACAGTTCAATCCTGCCATTACTGATCATCATTGAATATTCGAGTTGTTAGGTACGGCAAATTCAGTACCTATCATTTTCAGTGGAATTCGTCTGAAGAAACGTGCACAAGACGAGAGGAAGATACTTCAAAATTGTTTTTTGTTATTATTAGTTCAATGCGGAATCTTATAATTTGCTTCCCAAGCGACTGCAGAAATAATTGAAAAAGTCCATGAATGATGGCCAATTATGGATGATTTGAAGTAGTGAATCGATTGAACGCGAATAGGCAAAAGATATTTCATGAAGTACTGCTGCTACTCATGTTTTATTTGTTTGGTGTTAATTAATGATAAAAGCACACATCAATCCATTTATAAACACACACACACATACAAATACTCGGCGATATAACTGCCGAACACGAAAGAGTCTTTCATCATGATAAATTTGTTCATTCGGTATATGGAGCAAACGTGGATGAATGAGCAAATTATTCGAAGTCATCAGTGATATTTTCACTGCTTCTGTGCAATGGAATGGAGACGTGTGCATGCAATCAATGTTCCATGCAATGTGAATGAAGTAAGTGGCTGTGTGTCCGTCATGTCTTCTGTTCTGTTCGATTCCTAATTATCGTTGGTGCGAAATTGAATAAATCATATTGAAACAAGAGCGAATTCTCAACTGATTATTCTTTTACTGATTGTTTGAGCGAATTCTTTTCCTGACTGATTGCATGAGTGTGTGTAAGCTTCGACATCATCATCGTTTGCAGTCATCACCCTCATAACGACCACTTCACATTTCACAGCTGCAGTGTCCGTCATCATTTGATAAGCATTGATAGAAGACTTCACTCAAATGGACGGAAAATAATTGCTGACTTGTTTGATAGCTTCATCTAAAAACCTCATTTAGTTCATGTTTACGGAATCTGTTCATTCGATCTTGAGTTTATTCAAGTAGCTGCTTATTTTTACACGTTCACACCGACTCGATAATTCGAAGAACGCTATTCAACTGTTACTATGCAACTAGTGGTAATGAGTGTTTGCATTACCTGATCAAAGTTTCGTTATCGATCTGTAACGATCATAATTTGTTGATGATTCTATGAATAAATTCGGAGTGTGGAGCTGAATTCGCATTGAATTGGTAATTATTGAATGGGTTGCTGAAAGTAAAAATATTAATTATATGGAATATCGCTAATTCATTTCATCGCTCTCTGAATGGACGAGTAGTCATTTCTTTGACCTGAGGCGATAGGAGCTGTTGGTTTTGATACATCACTGGCGAGCATCCGCATTATTATTATTATTATCATCNTCATCAAATATTTGTTCACATTGTACCAAAGTTTTTTGTTTCAGTTTATTAAGTGCTGCGGTAATTGTTATCCTACTGAATTCAGTGTTCATATTCTCAGTTCTATGAGCGTCTTCTCATTACAAGTATGAATGTGATGCAGTAAGTGCGAGAGGACTTCACCTGAAACGTTTTGATTGTCATCAATGTTCTTAACTCAACAACCTTTATGATTATGATCTCTTCAGTCCTGTTGCTAGCTTTTTAAGTCAATTTATTGCTTAGCTTTCTCCATTCTTGTGAGCATTCATTCAGTTTACCTCAAATCCTATCGATTTCTTGATTGTCTTTTAGGTGAACTAGTCATTCTGTTAGTACGAAAACATCGAAATTCGAGCAAAATTACGTATGGATATGCCGAAATAACAAATAAAATAACGTAGCATATTTGCCAGCGAATTAATATTTCAAAAAGCAATCAATGATCGTTTAGGATATCAGATTTTAGATGTTTTTGTGGTACGAGCACGAAAGCATTTCATTTCATACAAGCTTTCTTCAGTGCCGATTTGTAAACACATACAAGCAGTATCTTTCTGGCTGTTCAGTTATTCATTAGAAATGAATTACGAATAAACTAGTGCGTTTGCTTTGAGTCCCATTGAATGCATTCCCACAAAATTTCATGCTATTATTGCATTTTAAAGAAAAATTAATCCTCTGAATATTTGTATTCCTCGTTAAATACCTAAATCCTTCAGTGTTTTTTTATAGCCCAAAAACCTCTGAAAAACTGCAATACATAATTTACACAAAACAACCTCTCATCGTTGTCACGACAGCTGATGTTTCCAGCGATCAAGCCGTATTATTCAAGTCTGAAATCGAACCAATGAATTTGGTAATAAGACGAAGCTGAAGCTGTTTTGATAGGAGGATGCCCAATGGACACGTTGACAGAGCGTTATCGCTTTAATGAAATAATGAAATGAAATGAAATAAATGAAACGCAAAAGTAATGAAATCGTTAAAATTCATCAGTTCTTTCTGAATTTTATAAGGCGTTCATGAATCTTTAACAAAGCAATATTTTGTTGCTGGAAATTTTGCCATAGTTTCGAAGGGCTTTTGGGAGTTTTTTTATTCATTCAAATTTAAGTTATTGAATTCCGGTGAGATGCTGATGAGCAGTGTAATTGTGCTGACTGAATAATGAATTATTCATTGAGTTATGTAATTGTGTATCGATTTAGTAGTTACCTAAGGAATTACCAGATTATCTTCGAGCAGTTCACCTATTGGAGCAATCACAGACGAGTGTTGTGCGTGTCAGAACCATGTTCGTAAGAGAATTAAGATCACTTTGAAGAAGAAATTCGTTGATTGCATGAAAATATTCGTTTTCCGAGTGATTCTCATTCGGTCTGATGAATATCTCTAAAAAGTAGTCATGAAGAAGTGCCTACTGCTTGAGACTTTGCCTCTTCTTCTGCTCAAACGTTGTTTTCTGAAAAGTTCCTCGGGTCAAACGTCTCGATGGACGAGTCTGATTGATAGTAAGCAGATGGGATCCAAATTTAGCTGTTTTGAGGCGATTTCGCAATTTTGAAAATGTGTACGCAGAATATCGGAGCTATTGTTTTGTTCAATTTCGAATTCGCACACGCCTTTGAATAATTAGATCTCAGAATGAATTAACTATGCAAACGATACCGGATGAAGTGCATGTGTTTCACCTATTAATAAGTTTTTAAATTCTTAAAACAGAAAGCAGTTTCATCGAGTGCTGTGTCGTTCTTGCAGTTATCGTTATGCGGCAGCTCTCGAATAGATCTTTAAAATTTATTGCGCTCAACGATTTCAAATATTAAAAGGAATCCACGAACGACAACCCCACAAAACAGAAACTCATTTGTTGGGCCATTGGCCATTTGGAAAGTGCTGAATAAGCAA